TCTAAGCACGTCTAAGTACGCCTAGAAATCTCTAGATACACGGAGTTCCTAGACCGACTAAGCACGTCTAGAAATTACTAGAAATTCCCTAAACCTAATCAGATATTGGCACTAGTACACTCTTGCAAGTGTGAAGATATCAATTGGAACAGGCTAGCTTTTTTCCTGGAATGATTAGATGATTTAACAAATAAATTTGGCCAATTTAAAGCAAGTTGAAAAATGAAAATGGTCGACATATCAAAAAATTAAAATGGCCACCATGTAGTTTAATCAGCATACTCAAAACTAAATGAGGTCTAACACTTATCTTCTCTTGCAATTGTAAAAACAATAATTTACCTAGCATGCCAAACATCTAATCAGATCTTGGGACCAGTCTGCTTGAGCATCTGTAAAAAATCCATATTGCACCCACCCGCCCATCTGCACAAGCTTCGCAAAATTGATATAGAAAATCTACATCGTACTGCATTCTGCATATCCCTATCATTATGTTATGCTGCATATTTCTCTCGATTTGGGGAACTACGGCCACCATACGGTTGACGTAGATCAAATGAGACTGAGATTTTAGTTCTCTTATCACTGTAAATAGTTGCAAAATCAAATATGCTGTATGAGGGGAAAAATTCAAATATTTTATCTAAATAAGCAGATCATTAAACCTAAGTTCAATTCTGACATTTATTATGCCTTATCTAGTTTTTTTTATTAATTTGGCATTATTTATTTTGGTATGTGTCCATATCAGTTCTTAAGATTTTAGACCAGATGGGTTTATAATTAACGCACGCGACTCTTATAAACATAATAATGTGTCAATTATTACAACCGGTTACAATAAGCTACCCCAAACCATCTGAATCAACAAATAAACATACATATATAGATATTGTTTCAAATTATACCAGATAACGACCATCTCAGTATTCGACCATTGGACATAAATACATACAATGTACACTGAAGAAAAAACGAAAATAATTGCGGTTTACACAGATTTGTACGGAAAGCGATAGGGGACATGCGCATAATTCAAAATCGAATGGAGTTTTAACATGGGAGTGATATCACACACCGCGGCCCAGTCAGATAGATTTCATCGCGCACTGAATGAATTACAGGGGCCGCGTTGTGCAAAGTTAATTAAAATAAAGTGCGCACAAATTCCGGCATTCAGTGCGCGATGAAAAAATGATTATCTGTGAATAAATAACGAATAAAAATTCGTGGCACCACGAATTTGATTTTTTCGGAAGACTGCGGAGTGAACCAGCGAAATGACAATTTTGGATAATATTGATGGCTCTAACGAGGAGAACTTTGAGATTTCCCAATTCTAGCGCGCAGCACATCCAGGACATGCGCACTTTTATCAGATTCGATTCTAATATGGTTTCAAAGATAATGTTCATTAAAAGAGGGCGTATGCATACAGATTACACGTGGCGTTATGTTGAAGTGACCCTTGCAAAGGGTTCCATTGAAAATATATTATTTTGGGCCATTTCATATCTTTTAATTGATATTGTATAAAATATTTTCAATGTTTGAAAATTGTAATCTTATAAATAACATTTTATGTAATAAAACTGTAACAAAATGGTAAATACGGAATATGATGCAATACAATGCAGTGCAATATGATGTTATACAATGCAGTGCAATATGATGCAATACAATGTGGTGCAATATGATGTAATACAATGCGGTGCAATATGATGCAATACAATGCAGAGCAATATGATGCAATACAATGCAGTGCAATATGATGCAATACAATGTAGTGTAATATGATGCAATACAAAGCAGTGTTATATGATGCAAAAATGCAGTGCAATATGATACAATACAATGTAGTGCAATATAATACAATAAAATGCAGTGCAATACGATGCAATACAATACAGTGCAATATAATGCAATACAATGCAGTGCAATGCAATACAGTGCAAAACAATGCCGTGCAGTGCAATACAATGTAGTTCATTTCAATACAATGCAGTGCAATACAATGTGGTACAGTTCAATACAATGCAGTGCAATACAATACATCGCAGTTCAATACAGTGCAATACAATGTAGTGCAATGCAGTGCAATAAAATACAATACAGTTACAATGTAGTTCATTTCAATACAATGCAGTGCAATACAATGTGGTACAGTGCAATACAATGCAGTGCAATACAATACATCGCAGTTCAATACAGTGCAGTGCAATACAATACAGTGCAATACAATACATCGCAGTTCAGTGCAGTGCAATACAATACAGTGCAATACAATACATTGCAGTTCAATACAGTGCAATACGATGTAGTGCAATGCAGTGCAATAAAATACAATACAGTGCAATTCAATAAATGCAATACAATACAGTGCAATACAAAACAATGCTGTGCAATAGAATACAGTACACTGCAGTACAATACAATGCAGTGCAATAAAATACAATGCAGTATAATAAAATGCAGTGTAATTCAAGACAATGCAATACAATACTGTGCAATACAAAACAGTGCAATATAGTACAATGCAGTGCACTGCAATACAATACAATAAAATATGGTGCAGTGCAATTCAAAACAATTCAGTGTAATACAATGCAGTGCAACACAATGTGGTACAGTGCAATACATTATAATGCAGTGCAATACAATACAATGCAGCGCAATACAATGTAGTACACTGCAGTACAATACAATGCAGTGCAAAAAAGTACAATGCAGTGCAATATAATATAATACAGTGCAATACAGTACAATATAATGCAATAAAATACAATGCAGTGCAATACAATACAATGCAGTGCAATACAATAAAATGCAGTACAATACAATATAATGATGTGCTATACAATACAATACAATGCAATGTAATACAATTCAATGCTATTAATGTACACCTTCTACAGTCAAATAAACACAGATAAAATTGTAATAGTATGTTAGTGTATGGAGTTTGAAGTGGGTGTGGGATACAATTACCAGTCTGCTGATTGATGACTTAATAACTTAGAAAAGATCTCCTAGCTTTTAACAGGTGGCACTTATGACTACCTTATGTTCTTGAACAATCTCGTCTAAGAATACAGACCCGTATCCTGGATTAACCTGGGGGAGTGCTTTTACCAAGGGGGAGATTTTGCCAAGAGGGGGGGGGGGCTTTTTGACAGTTATGGCAAAAAAATCATGCGAAAAGTGCTAAGAATGGTGAAAAACTGCATGATTTTGAACGAATATTTGGCAAGGGGGAGGGGGGGGTGAGGCCCCCTGGCTACGGCCATGGAATACATATAGGAACTTTCCTTCTCCCAGAAGAAATGGTATACAGGTATTACATCAATCATTCTGGCATTTTGTATACGAAGGTCTGTAGTTACTTTATTGAAAGATGGCAGTGTGTACTACCATTTTGAGGTCAGTTTGACTTTATAATTCTGCGCACTATAATCTGTAATTCTCATAGATATCCTCTCTAGAGGCATCACTGTGATCCAAAATTACAATTTCGCAGGTCAAGTCTGCAGTCTTTCGAAAAAAGTTGAATTCGTTGTGCTACCCTTTCTTGTTGGGCATTTATTAACAGAAAACTATAATTACATCGCGCAAGCAGTATACAAGCTTCAGCGCGATATTTTGAGTGTGTTAATAAATAAAGTGCGCAGAAATCGATCTTACTGGGCCGCGGTGTGCGATATCACTCATAAACAATTTTTAATTGCGCACTGAATGAATTACAGGGGGCGCGTTGTGCAAAGTGAATTAAATAAATAAAGTGCGCAGAAATATATCTGACTGGGCCGCGGTGTGTGATATCACTCCCATGTTAAAACTTCATTGAATTTTAAATTCTGCGGTATATCCCCTTTCGCTTTCCGTAGATTTGAAATGTGAGCGATAAAGACTAGTTTTTTTATATTCAGCAGTAATTTCTTACGTATAATATATCGAATACATACATACGCTCGGCATCATCCTGAATGTATATAGAGCGCTTGCAACAACATTAGTTTTAAAATACATGGCTTATTTAATATACATTAGGGTACATTGACTTAACATGGTGACATACATGATAGTTTCCCGATGTTAAGTCATTGGTCAATGGTGTTTGTTCTCATGATAAGTGTAAGTCAATGCACCCTTCCTGGAATCCTCATTTTCTCAGAAGAACTCAAGTTGATCCAGTCTCAACAAGTAGATTCATGTTGGATAGTATTGCTAGAATCCATTTTCAAAAGTAGGAATATGGGTTCTTTAAGGGACTAGAGGGGACATTTCATTCGTACTGAAGTCATTGAAAAATTCAAAGCTCATAACATCAAAAATAGTTGTTGATACTCTAATACTCATAAAATATAGCATTTAGTCTCAATTGATGTGATAAACGTAATCAAGTCTCAAGCCCATAGGCAATTCAAAGGGTCAATAATATACAATAATTCACAATGGTCATCAATGTCATCAAGAAAAATTTGGTTTGTTTTGATCCCTATTTCTCTAATTATTTATAATATGTATGATATTGTGTTATATTGATCCTTGAGGTACACCACAAGATGTTTATGTAGGGTTTGATACACAGCCATCATATTCAGTGATTTGAGATCTATTTAATAAGAAACTTGCAAATCAATTATGAGCAGTTCCCCTTATTCCATAAAATGTAATTTTCCGATAGAATCTTGTGATTATCGAACGCTTTTGTGATTTGAGTGAAGAACGAAGTTCACTGAAAAATTCATAAGTTTCAAAACCCATAATTGACTCTTGAACAATATAAGATAATCTAATAACAGTATTCCAATCACCTTCTCAACTATTGATGTCTCTGCATTTATGTCGACAGACGTTCTGTTGTCAGGGTCACTTGTTGTTTATTATTAGTTGATTTTCTCTATTTTTAGGATGAAATTACAAATATCTACGATATTGTCGTAATCTAGGACAGTGGTTTAGTGAATTTTCATTTCATAATCAACTGACAGACTATCAAAATGGCGAACAAAAGTCAATTCCAGCCAGCGATATCAGATATGGACCCCGAATTGAAGAAAAGCAAAATCAAGTCAATTTACAAGAACTTGATGGTGCTGTCCTTCTCATTCATGTTCATAATGACTGCCTTCATGTCTCTACAAAGTTTGCAGAGTAGCTTAAATCGTGAAGCAGGAGTTGGAGTCATATCACTTAGTTGCCTTTATGGTGGTGCCTTGTTCTCCTGCATGTTTGCACCAGTACTTATCAAAAAATTCGGACCAAAATGGTGCCTCAGTTTTGGCTGGCTGACACAATGTATTTTCACAAGCGCTAACTTTTACCCTAAAATGTATACTTTAGTCCCAGCCGGTGCGATTCTTGGTATTGGAACTGGACTCATCTGGACATCACAGGGTGTGTACCTAACTACAATTGCTCTAGAGTTTGCATCAATCAGCCGGGAAACGGGACCGTCAGTTATGAGTCGTTTTAATGGAATATTTTTCATGATTTTTCAAAGTACTCAGATTTGGGGAAACCTGATCTCTTCACTTATACTTCACACATCGGGAGAAAATGATATTTCACCGGAAAACTTCACTGAGATTGTGCACTTGAACCAGACAGACGTAACACAACTGAACCAAACATATATAACACAACTGGACCAAATATATGTACCACAATTGAACCAAACATATGTAACGCACAAGGAAGATTCTTTCCAAAATGAAATAACCCGATGTGGTGCTAAGTTTTGTCCATTTGAACAGAGCACAAATGGAACTGCCTTCACGGCACCACCAAAGAATATTGTCTATACACTTATGGGAATTTTCCTCAGTTGTGGAATTGCAGGAACATGTCTCACTGTATTTTTCCTGTCACGTCTACCTCAAAAGAGTTCTCGTGAGATCTCAGAGGAAGAAGATCTGACACTATGCGAGAGGTTGAGTTCTACATTCCAGCTATTGGTGAAAGATGTCCGTATGCCACTTCTCGCTGCTCTGTGCTTCTACACGGGCACTGAACAGGCCTTAATGTACGGCGACTTCACACAGGTCGGTAAAGGTCATCCGCCCCAACACCCATGCATGTTTTATTAGACATACAAAAGTATCAAGGATTTAGAAGAACTGCTAGGGTGACGCAAAAGACTGCAAAGCTCACTTGTCTTAATTTATTTTATAAAACGTTCGCGTGTGGACGTTTTTAACCATCGAGTGCTCTTACTGTCTTTACACCTGCAGCTGTTAGTTCAAAACATTGAATTTATGCCTTCCAAATGCCTTTTTCTATCATACATATCGAGGCCATAATGAGGAATACATTTTCCTTTTCAGTCTTTTATAGGATGTGAACTTGGAGTTGGCTGGGTTGGATACATAATGATATGTTTGGGAGTTTGTAATGCAACGTTTGCTTTCATACTGGGCCGATTGGAAAAATACACCGGCAGACCAGCCCTGTTTGTCTCCGCCACTGTGATTAACGTTGCGCTGATGCTTACGATGTTAATGTGGACGCCAGATAAGCAACAAATGTACGTGTTCTTCATTATTCCTGCACTCTGGGGAGCTTGTGATGCTGTGTGGCAAAGTCAGACCAGTGGTAAGAAACGAACTCCATTACTATTTGCTTGATGCAATTTTCTCGTTGTTTATACTCGTTTTTGTATGATCATGCATAGACTAATCGGCACAAAGTTAATCAAATTATACTGCATTCTGAATCTATAAGAATTGTTGTTCTTCACATTTCATGATACATCATCGGCGATATGAAACGTTTCTTCATACCATGTTATATATCTAGTAGATCTCATTTTCCAGCCCTGTTAGGAGTATTATTCTCCAGTCAAAAAGAAGCAGCGTTCGCCAATTTCCGCTTGTGGCAGAATCTTGCTCAAACCATCGCCTTCGCCACCAGTGGACTAATGTGCATGAGCGTCAAAGTCATCATTGCCATCACCCTGGCGTGCATTTCTCTCGCTCTCTACATCGTGGTTGAGGTGAAGGAAAAAATGAGTGGAAAAATGAGCTCACGGAGATCCACAAGCGCTTATTCAAAACCGCCAGAACAAGGCCTGGTGACAATAAAACAAGCCGGGGATTACTGACGATGTTGAGATTGCATTTTTTTAATATACAAGTACAATCATTTAACAGACAGAGACTACTTATTTTTCTCAAGTATAGCAAAGAGAATCATTTATGATTCTGATAAAAAGATATTTCTTTTGAGTTTACATTTCGTAACTCCCTATGCAAAGTAATTATAAAATCGGGCATTCAAGCGGTCGCTATTATAAATCTAATATGATTGAAACTCTATAAACAAGCTCAGTAGTAGCCTTTTAAAGCCATAAACCATTAATAAACAAGACATCTCGAGTACCATAGAATTGATGAGACCCTCAATAAAAATGTACGACATTTGGGCAAGGCCGGTATTTCATTAATACATTTACAAAAAATACTATATACGTTTTTGTAAAGAAAAACATGTTTTGTTACTTAGAAACTTTAATTTAATTTAACAAGTATTTGTTGTTTTAATTAATAAGTAAAATTGTTAAATGTAACGGGCGTAGCCATGTGAGGCAGGCGAGGCAATTACCCAAATGCGAGTAGGTAGTTACCAGTTTCACCACCAGGTGGCTGATTCGGGTAATCTAACATGGCAGATTTATAAGATTTATAAATAACATAACAATCAAATAGAGATAATGACATACATGTTTATGATTCATAAAGTCATACAGATAACATATTTACATAAAACAAAACTAGAATAAAATAACCTAACATTTACTTTGGCTTGGGGCGCATATGGTGCTAATCATACGCGCTATTGTATAAAGTGGCATTCAAAGTCATTCTTGTTCAAGAATACGGTAATTAATGACGTTACGTAATGAAGTATTACGTAAAGAGGGGTATCTGACTCCTGTACACATGCTGCTGATCAGACAAACGAATATGCCCAGTAGATAGCTCCCATGATAGAAAATGGGTGGTGAGGTATCTGACTCCCGACCATGCTTGGTAGATCGCGAAGACCTGACTCCCAAGACGAATAGTGCGGTAGATAGCCCCACGATGACTAAAGGGGTATCTGACTCCCGACCATGCTTGGTAGATCGCGAAGACCTGACTCCCAAGACGAATAGTGCGGTAGATAGCCCCATGGAGAGATCTCCCGCAAAGTACGGAAGATGGGTAATTTAGACATAAAATACTGCCGAAAAATGAGAGTGTGAAATTACTTGGGGGTTAGAACGAAGTAATGAGTGTGAATGCCATATCATTTTTCCATTTTGAAGTTTACAACAGTAGAATAAGAATTAAAGGTCCCTAAACTTGATTATAATCAGTTTAAGTGAATACATTTTCATATAATCCTTATGTGTCTGATGATTATACAAACGAAAACATGCCCAGTAAAAAATTATCTGCCCAACAGAAGAAAGATATTGCACCTCTTGTAATTTTGAAACATGGGGTTTATCCGGAATCTCCCCGACCTACAAATCACATTTTCAAAGAAGGTAAAATTTTCAAAGTTAGTAAATACTTTTTAAACCATATACATATATATGTATATTACATTTATACCTCCCATTTAGGCTCGGAGTTTAAAAACCGAAAATCTTACAAAGCAATGATGTCATTAGTGTCCATCTCAAAAGTTGATAGATTTGTCAGATTCATTGATGTTTATAACCGTCTTATGCTAGTTCAAAGGAAAAGCGAAGACACTTAGAAGTATGTCACCGTAAAACAACGCAGAGGGTCACCAAGTGTCAAGAGTAACTACGTGGCAGCATAGAAATCCTTTACAAGGAGTTTGTAAGTTGAATGGTGTCAATCAGTCAAGTATTCACCTTTGTGCAGCTATTACTGACAACGTATTTTCAAGTTTTAGTTCAGATAACGAAAAGATACCAGGTCTGAACGCTACACATTTTTGAGAGGTACAACCAAAAATATGTTCGTATTGCAGTTTTGTGTGTGGTTCTAAAAGTATGATGTGGGACACGCTGCACGATGTAGTATTTCATTCAAGCACAGTGTTTTTATTATTGAAAATTAAGATAAACAAAATAGGATACAGACTTGGGCAAGGTGATTACCCAAAAAGTACAAGAAAGCTAATATTATATTGCTACAGTACATTCATACTGAGCATTGATTTCTGGGTCTGTGAAAGGCATGTGGAATTTGAATAATTGAGTATTATAATTCATTTTTGGTTCAAGATTGTAATCTGCAAGCGGTTTCTGACATTTTCCAAACATTACATGTCAAGTAGACACAAGGCATTAACATGACAAAATGTCACCTAGTTGCTCACAATATTATTAGTTCAAACTAAGTTCGATTTTAATTTCTGAGAACTCTGTCGATGATTTTGAAAAAGGTCAATTTGAAACAAGTTGTTTTGACCCTGAGAAGGTCATTGAAAGTGAAATCTCAAGTCTAAAGTCAGATTTGAACCTCTGAGAACTTGAAGATGATTTTGAAAAAAATATTTGTCAATTCGAAGTTGAAAAAATACTTTTTGACCTTGAGGAGCTCAATTTGAAGCAAGTTGAAAAATACCTTTTTTAACCTTTTTGACCTTTCCGAAAACATTTCAGGTGATTTTGAAAAAATGAAGTCAGTCAAAACAGTATTTGTAATGTTATTGGAAGTTGAAAGAAATTGTTACAGACGCCGATCGCCAACCACCAACCACCGACCGCCATCCTTTTTGGCGGTGACATGATAAATCAAATGCCACGTGAGTTGTGTTGTGCCTTAGCCCATCCGCTATTGCTCAGTGGCAGAGTCAAGGCAATGTGTAGGTACAGACAATTGCCGGAAAATGGACTGTATTGATGAGGGCACAGGGCAATATGTTTTAGTGAACATAATTTATTTTATGTATACATTTTATCGCACTTTAAAAGCATACTTGGTAAATTAGTTGGCGGGCATTTTGAATTTTTCCATAAATCTTGTCATCAAAATTCGAGGAAAACTATTTATCCGTTCAACTTTTTGATTAGGTTTTCGGTATGCTGGCTCAACTACACGGCGGTCATTTTTTGTATTTCATATTTCATATTTCGCATGTGCGATCATTGGTTTTCACGTGAGTTGAATTTCACTGGCTGAGAATGACCGATCCTCAAAATGATACAAAGTTACGTTTACCTCCTCAACTCCGTGCTAGGTTCGGTCTGACATTGTAAGCAAAATTGACACGGCTCTGGTTTCGCTTTTAAGATTACAATGTCATTAACAATACCTTATCTTAACAATGACATTGTCAAATTACCACTTGACTTGTCTTTGAGTGATTTATTCGAAAGTCGACGAATATTATACAACTTGTTATAAAAAGGAAAGAAGAATTTAAAGTGTCCTTAAAAAGAGTTCAAGGAGTCTACGTTATCGTAGTAACCGGTCGACAAGGATGATAATAGCATTACGTACGTCATATGTACACACTACTACATGATACTGCATGATACTACAACAGAATACATGCATTGTCATTAAAACCTAGCATACACCATGACTTTAATTGTCACCTTAACTTGTTGAATATTCCTAACTTGGGGTCACTGGTTGGTTTAAGGAAGTCGGGTGAATATTGAGATTTTTATTTTCCTGAAATTGTTTTTCTTGTGCATTTTACACAAATTATAAACCTTGTTAACGCACAAAGAAAGTCAGCATTAACGAAGTAAAGTTACACGTCAATCTGCAATACATGATCCTGAACGTGTACATTCACGTGCTTCCACCTTCGCGTTTTTTATTATTATTAAAAATGTTTTATTCGTCTATATTTTTACATACATTATATTAATACAATTTGACGAAATGGATAGGACAAAAGGCTTTCGCCTATTCTAAGTCCTCTCCTTTGGTTGTCCTAGAAAATTGATTACAGTTTTATTTATTTGTGCAGGATGGGAGGCTTGGGAAGAAATGAGAGAGTGAAAGGAGGAAACTAGTTATTTGAGAATCTTTTTGTAGCTCTTATGTAATTGTGAACAGCAGTGAATGTGGCTTTGTTTTCTTCATCCGTCTTCCTTGCATTTCCATGGATGAGTTCTGTTAATGTTGTCCTTGTCCTCGCGTTTTGCTCTTTCGGTTAATTTTGCTCTTTCGGTTAATTTTCATTAACATTAACATCAACATTACTCTACATATGATCAGGCATTCACGTTCATGTTGTTTATAGTTACAGTAATAATGTGAAACATTGCCAACCGTGGCAAAATAATAAGAATTGAGAGGTTCGACTTCAAAATTGACATAAAGTCTTAAATATTAGGTGTGGCCAATAGAAAAAATGAATCTTCATCTGAATTAGTTTTCCAGCGATGATACGACAGCCGTTGCTTCCCGGAATCGAAAAATACCTGTTGCGGTCACAAAGGATCTGTGTGAACGCCAGGATCGAACTTGGTCGTATCAATTGTCATGGTCATCAACTACATAATAATTATAATAGGACCAAACCGATACGATAGGCACTATCTTCTCTAGTTGAAGTTTGGGATGGTTTCTTCGAACGGACGAACAATGGTACACTTGATAAAATACAGTGAATAGCATGCTACTTTCATGTCTTAATTGTAACAAAAACTGTCGAATGGATTTTATGAACTAAAGTCATCGTGCCATGTAAAAGCAGGTGCCATCTTCAAAAAGAGGCAATGATTCTTTAAATAGTAGGGAACTTAAATGGAATCAATCAAATTTTAAAAACATACTAGTCCGCTAATTTTTGAAGTTCTTTAATGTCTTCATTGACTCATTTTTTGGATGCACTAGTTCTCTGCTAAAGATTTGAAAAAGAAGAAAGGGCGTTTACATTCACCTGTATAACGTATGGGGTCTTGTAGAAAACAAGCGAGACGCATGGTAGAACATACGAGGGTGATCAATAAGTGGTGGACGCTTTTTACACAGGTATTATCGACCAATCTTTTACATTTTCACCAGTGATGAAGCATTCAATTATCCATCAGATCTGGCGATTTTAAGACAAGATATAGTATACATTCTGAAATATCTTTATTTATATTTTTGTGTAGGAGGTATTGGTACCCTATGACTGCCCATTACGCTACATATTTTGAAGCAATAGATCATTCTAAATGCAATTGCACTTGAATAAAGGGAACTATGATGGTCATGATAACATCATTCTGATATGCCAAAATAGTGTTGAAATAGTTTTTTTTATCAAGTCACGTTCATTTTACATATTTTACATAGCTTCCTCTAAATGCCCCACACCTCCTCATCCCCTCAAGACAAGACTGAGAGACATGGCCGGATCCATTCTCTGACATGGTTGCAAGCTGTTTTTGCACGGCCTGTTTTATATCATTAATGTCACTAAAGCTACGCCCGTTCAACACCCTCTTCTTGAATTCACCTGTATGGGGTCTTGTCAACGCCCTCTTCCAGCTTGGAAAGAAAGATCCTCTCATGGTCATTACATGCTTTAAAGTACTCAACTGCTCATGCCACTTGTAGCTAGACAACCTTTCGAAAAAGGGGTTTGCTTCTTTGAACTCTTTCTAATGTCTCATGCTCGGTTGCTCCAGGTGAAACAAGAAGTTCAATAGCAGTTCGCTGCTTCACTTAGTCTAATGGTTGGGAGGGCTAACATTATGTCTAACTCAAGGATCGGTGACACATTTTTGATTTGCCATTGAACCGTGACGGAACAATTATTAAACATGATGAAAATATGACCAAACAGCTCTGTAACATCACAATACTTACGTTTACCAGGCAACATATCATTTCAACTGAAATATGCAAATTAGGTAAAACAGCTTATGTGACTCGCTGGTGAAAAAGTCGAAGAGAGGAGAGTCGATTAAAAAACACCTGCGTAAAAAGCGTCCATTACTCATTGATCACCCCTCGTATTGTTGCAGCATGGATTTTATTATCAACTGATTCAATCCCGTTTTGGTGAGTATTAATCATTTTGTGTGTTTGAACAATTTGAATCGGGTCGGGATGTGATTTTTGTTAATATTTAGATATTTCGATTATTTGTAAATCGTTATTGTTCTCAACATGTATACCAAACCAAGCGCTAGGCTGGGACTCAAAGCACCTTGTTAAGGTGGAAACTGTATATACCAGGATGCCTAAAAATAACTCAATAAAGTGTATATAATTTTTATGACATCATTATATATCGTATCAAACAAATGGTTGGTTTCACTGGAACTTTTGATGATAAGAGTTAATATTAAAAAAATAAAGACCATAGGTTATTATGTTACACTTTTCAGAAGTATGATGTCACCAGATTTATATGTCTAATTGTCAAATCGTTGCTTCTGTTGTTTATGTCTTAACTAAAATTTTGGACAGAATGTATTTTGGAAACAGAGAACAGTGAAACAAATCAATAAACCTATACTAACAAACAGACAAGCTGCTTTTGAGACTAAAACCGACTGACAGATTCAATCAGGAGGAGGCACAAATTATGCAGCTCTGATATTGGATTTTTTGACATACAATTTTTGAATTTGTCAATTCTCACATAATATTTGACCGATCTCTTTCGTAGTTGTACAATTTACTAATGAATACCACGAGGCCTTGTTATAAAAAATTTCAAGAAATTTGAGTAATTAATTGCTGAAGTAACACTCGTCAAAAAGCTACTCATTTTTTGGGACACCCGATATAACGACCTCAATTAAACCGTCAGTCAACGTGGGAAAAATGTTACTAGAGGAATTTATCCCATTCATTCACCCCTCTACTCATTCAGAAATAGCTTGACAACGGTAAAGTCAGATACCGTTGTCACAAATGGCGGACATAACCGTCGCTTCAATCAGATTTTCATGAACTGTATGCTTAACAGAGTACCTGACTAAATTCCTTTGGAACAACAATGAATCAAAGTGTCTTTATACTCATTGTACAGTTAATAATGTTCTACCATCGAAATAAAGTCTTTAATTTAACCGATCAAAATGGGATACGGGACAACGGAACGGACACTGTATTACCATATGCCGTTGTCTTTGTAAATTATTTCAAATTCAGATTCCGTTGTCATTGACGATATTGAAGACGCTATATTATAGCGATTCACAACCCAATTTGATCGAAATTGGGATTTCATAATATGATATGATACATCATCACAAGAGCTTATACGAAGAATTACATGCAAAGAATTGGCGACGATAAAATCCCATGAAATGAGAACCAAGTGATTAAAGAGTTGAAGCGACGGTTATGTCCGCCATTATATAATGATATACGGCATCTGCTACTAAAATTAGATTTAAAAAATAATTTCCAAACTTTGATTCTTTATATTTCTCAATCAATTTGCATCTACCTACACCAATCTATACCTATTACTAACGCACACCTACCATTGCTGAAAACAATCGAATAAAACATTTTATGCTTTATTGGCCGGGCCAATATAATATTATAATTTCAAATAAAGAGTACATTGAAGGGTAGTGTCAACGCCCCGATCATTAAGTGGGCTGCTCCGCGGGGCATCACGCCTCAAAGAGTGAATGACCTTACCCGATGTAACTATATTCAAATAGTTTAATTAAAGATCTATGGTATGAAGCAGCTAACTCGCACAACATATGATTGGGGCGTGGCATGGACACTAGGAGTGAGCGATATTGTTGAAACTTTGAAAAACAAGATGATTGTTGAAATGTCGGAACATTTTTTGTCCTACAGAAGTAAGTTCAGAGAACGAGAAACATATACGCAATACAAGAATCACGCAATCAATAATTATAAAAACATCTAACTAGATATTTGCGCTGAGTATAATGATTTTGAAGATGATATAAGAAGAAATCAATGAAATTAAATCAATGAAATTATAACAATTTAATTATATCGTGCGTAGGTTAGCATCACGTGTGCTCATTTGAACAAGCAATCTGTCAAGTTCAAATTTACTTATCTACAGTCTGTGTATGTCTTCCCAAGAAAATCAATGATTTAATAAAAAATAAAATTCCAATGTTTCTCGTGATAGTTGAACTTTTATCTAAGACCAGCCAATACCAAATGATTTTTAAAGATAAATGAACTTGAATACGTCATTTACAGCACAACCCTTTTATAGGCGTTCTTAAAGGAGAATACTCTGTTGGTAAGTTCGAATACCAATACTATTTATATTGACTTATCAATGAGCGTTCTCCCGTATAGTTGTCATAAAATGGTTGTGAGTATATTAGCACGATACATAACAAAGCTCGTTTTCTTTTTCAGGTACCTCTGAAGAGACCAGACGTATGTTATAGAAAACCAAAACTACAGCAACAAAAACAGTAAAGAAAGACAAAATCGGACTGCATTGAAACAAACACTATATAAAGGACATTAACGGCGATCCAGTGTTCAGAGACTTAAAATATAGGATTATTGGCAAAACTAAAGGGACGCTGAGGCGCTAAAAACAAAACTAAATTCAAGGATTCTGTTCGATCCATTCTCGCCCCAGCGAATACTCAGAGGGTAATTTCTCAAGGTCGGCTTCGTAAAGGGTAAGTTACTTTTATTGGTTAGCTTGATACATACTGTAATATGATTGGTTGAGACATTACACACCCAGACACTCCTTTCATTCATAAAATTTAATGAGGCTGCGAGTAAATCCATCAAGTGTAATTTTTATTTTGTTTTTATTAGTTTCATGTTGGTGCGATATTTGTTTGATTGCATCAGACTAAATCAAGGCCGACATCTTAAATCTCAAACAGACCAGACAGTGGCCTTGATATGACCTTTACTTTTATTCCAATACAAATAACCGTCACGTATTCAACAAAGAAAATTCAACCAGGGACAGGGATTCGGAGGTGTCAAATCAGACGTCAACTTGAAAAAGTTAAAACCGTTTTCAAATTATGCCTAGATGGTAAATGGGCCACAAGTTGAATACATAGGTGTATTGATATTTTTTTTGTTGCATGTTCTACACGTTGAGTGTTTTAAATAAGAAACTCCCAGTGACTAATAAATAGCTGAACTCAGTGGTCGTGAATTTAATGTTATGGCCATCATCATAAATCACTCACTATTGTCACGTTGTCTGTCTCCCTGGGGCGACACAGGAAAACAACATCATTTTTAGTCAGATATCCTACATAAGATAACCAATATTAAAATAAAATTGCAATCATGAAACAATATTAACATGACACAATTCATCTCCTGTATTTACGTTAACCTCTCGATTTGATGTACTAGTCGTTGTTATGACAATTTTATATCTATATAGCTTGATTATCGATTTTATGTGTTCGCATGATCAGATTTGCATTCCTATGAAAAACATAAATAATTCACAATGAATCATTTGTCAAGGGGAGCACAAACAATATTAAATCGCCTTTAAAAAACAATCCAATAGTTTAAAATGTTTAAGATCGAGCCCCATTCTTTTCACGCCGTACAACCGGGAAGGGACGAAATGGTTATCAGTTAATATGGCCCAAAGTACTCATTTAATTCGACGTTTTGACAGAATTATACGAACCTTTCGATCATCCTTATTACAAACATCGACCATGCTAAACAGAGGTGCCCCCAGCATCAATACGTCCCTTCGTCAATACATCTGAACACGATGAAGAACTTATCAAATCTTGACAACAAGACAATAAGTTGAAACAAATAAATAATTTTCACAGAACCCATCACATTTCCGACATTTTTGTGCACCATGATATTATTGCTAATATTTCTTTCCCCTGCACTACTTCAAATTAATTTCTGGAATTCTTCCATGCATGTATGATGGATACTTGAGTGTCGGGGTGCGATATAATAATTATATCCATAATTTCTTAATCATTTCACAACGATTGAGATTGAGTATGAGCATTTTCTACAAATAGGCGTTGCAAGAACATTTGAGAAGTTCCAGATTGTTTAGTAATGAATTGTAGCGACAAACAAATACGAGGACACCTCCACGTAGCATGTTGGATGTTTCTGTGAGAGCCAAAGACTCATATTCTTTTAAAAGATCAAATTAATAAATATCCAATTTGCTGCGAATATTCACCAAACACGTCGTACACTTTCGGTGAAACGACGTGAAAAGCATGGGGCATGAATATATAGAGATTATCCTATATGAGGTTCAGGATATTGGGATTATTCCGAGGCCAATATAATATATTTGCCCGAGGGCCGCAGGTCCCGAGGGAAAATATATTATATTGTCCAAGGGATAATCCCAATATCCTGAACCGACTATAGGATATAATATGTTTATCCCATACCAATCTTGGTCATCTGGTTCACATTGTTCAATCGTGGAAATATTTGAGAATATTCACGTCCAGTTTTGTTTTCTTGGCCGTGGGCGGACTTTCCTGTTCTCTCAAATATTCCCACATTTATTTTCTCGAATTTTTGATTGATTAAGTGAATGCTCCCTCCCTTTTTTAACTATCAAACAGATCCAGATTGTCTGTGTTTTCTCCATTGTCGTTTACAGTCATTACGCGAACGTTACAAATTATGAACAAATATGCGAGCGGCGATTATGACGTAGCGGGCAGATATCCGCTCGGAGCGGGACGTAAAGCTATATCTGCCCGCTGATGAAAATATAAGTTTTTACAAATCGGCTTTATGTACCTGTAACACATCCAAGTATGGGATAAACATATTTATGTAGACTTGGATTGGGAGCATTTTCATTCCGAACTCATGAATGAATGCGTTGTTAAATCATCCTACAATTCATTGAGTTTTGGTTAATTCTTCATTATACCGATCCCGATCCTAGACTCTCTTTAATTTTTATTTTTTTAATATTTATTTTGATATTCAATAGACACCGTGTTAAGACAAATTCCGTATTTTTGTAACCATCGCAGAATTATTATACTTTGGGAAACGTTCACTAAACTATCAATTGATCACATGTTTAAATTGCAACACATGTTTACTAATATAATGATGCAATAAAATGAATATCACCGTTATGAAAAAACCTTTACATCATAATCGAATATCCGTGACTGGGATGAAAAATGAACGCGTTAACCTATTCCTTTTTACAGTATTGAATAGACGGTCGTAAATTACACGGTGTTGTGATGTTCGCTATGTCTATTGCTATAATTCAAACCTCTCATTAACATCTGTGACACACTTTCCTTTTGAATAAATACTTTTGATTTGTTAACCTTACGTGTGGTAGTATTAATGAATTTTTCCTTGAAAAGGGAACGTTTGCTATTTCTTAAAATTTAAAATAGTAGGTGGCGTAAGTCGACCCTGCTAAAAGTGCAATATGTTCTCAAAGAACTAGTTTGTTTATTTTCTCATGAAATAAATGGTGAAATATGAGACGATCGGTTATTTATAAAAGCAATAACACGAGGCATATTAGAATAATCAAGATCATTAATTAAGGTGACGGTGAACTACAATACAATACAATACACAGATTTTCAGAAATAATATGAGAATTTTGCAATTTTGAAATTTTTTCAAACTCTTGATCCTGAGAAGTAGTTGTTTTTATTTCACGTGTTCTTGAACTATCATTACAAATCGACTAAACAACAACAAGAACTTTATTTCAGAAAAAGTTTCGAATAAAGATTTTGAGAAGATCGTGGGCTTTCAACAGAAGGGTATGGAACTTCCCATATTTCATACATAAGTATTGCCTTGGCTTTTCAAAATTGGAGAAAAAATACTTCCTGTACACATTCCAAGAATCATTTAAGAAATAACTCAAAAATAAAAACATGATTATCTGCATACATGTTGATAATTTAATATAAAATGGAATTTATCATAATTATGGCAATAATGAAACTGAATATTCCCCCACAAATTGTATTTTTTATTGGAATGTGTTCTTGAATAATGACCAACAATGCAACATACGATGAGAACATTTTGATACCTATTTTCTTATTGGTCTTTTTTGTTTACTTCTAAATAATATTAAACATGTTTCATGCTTTAATCATATTCAAAATTCATTTTTCTTTGAGATAATACTAAAACACATATGTTTATTGTACATTTATCTAAAACTCTTTGAAATATTATTTAAAAGGGAAGCATGGCACTGCTCACTTTGAAGTTTTCATGTTTATAATGTAGAGTTGCATACCCTTCTCTTGAAAGCCCATGAGAAGATTTCTTAAGAAATCGCTCGTGAAAAACGGAAATTTGAAAAATTTCCCAATACAAAAATGGTGATCAAAGGAAGGGAAAAATGCACTTCTCAAAAAGATTTTTGTCATTTTTACGGAGATATTTTAATTTTAAAGCTCCTTTGATTTTGACCTATGACGTTCATGATATTTCTGAAAACTAAAATTAAAACTAAGAGTCAGAGAAAATCCAACCGTAAGACAGTAATCATTTCGATGGTAAAATTACACTGAAAATGCCACGTGCTTCCTTGTTTGGGCCATCTTGGAACTTTGGTGTCACTTTGTCCCATTTAACATTTTGCACGTTGTTTCTATTCTTTTAATGGGGTTTGAAAAAATGCACACAGATTTGGAATAATATTGACAGTTTTCTTATCATAGTAACTTCAAATAGTTTTAACTTGTAATATGTGTTCAAAAATTGAAATGGTTGTCAACAAAACCGATTCAGATGTATCCGCATTAATTAATCAAACATTCTAATCTCACAATTAATTTAATTTTAATTCCTAAGTTTACGTCAATAGATAAGACCTACAGATTTATTCTAGAATCATCCTACTTGATCACAGTTCCTCGAATTACATTAAATTGAAGTGTTTTTGAAGTGGTCACATGACGTTACTTGATTGATTAAGATAACATATTTACCTCTCATCAGTTGGTTGACACTATATTATGTTAGGTGTCAGGATAATCGAGTCAACATAAAAAAAAAAAACACTTCGAGATTGAGATTAGATCTAATTATGTAGATGTTAAAAAGGGCCAAGTTAAAGTACAAAAGTTCACAGAGACCTAATTTCACAAAATGTTTTTATAGTACTTTGCCACAATCATAGCTTTTTCATTTCATTTTAATTAAGAAATCAAGACTGAAGAGCAGGGCTACTAGTTTCGAATACACCCCGCATGGTCTCGGCACAAACGTTTTCTGCGACCGAAAGGAGTGAGGGGTTCGAAAGCTTTTGTACCTAGACCTAAGGGGTGTATTCGAAACTAGTAGCCCTGCTCTGAGGTCTATATTACGATTCGAACATGAAAACTCACCAGAATATTGCAAAATCGTCAATTTCGATGTTCATTTTCACTTTTTTCATTTCTACTTCCGGTTGAGCGTTTGGCTGTTCCAATTTGTTTACTTACCTCCTGACCCCGACTTAAGTTTTTATTGACATTTCGGCCTATTTTATTGGTTTCACGCATATCTACTACATTGATAATTTTTGAAATCATTGAGATTACAGTTTACAAATGCTTCGACAGAAAATTATGGCTCCGGACAATTTCTCCCTGCCATTTTGAATTTTGCAGACGAGAGGGGGATGCGAAAAGAACGGAACGGCCTAAACTGACCAATGAGTGCACTGAATGAAACACTTAGTACAGAGCCGGGGATTTGATCTCGAATATAACCCAGCTGAAGCATTGACTTTGTTTACAGTTTATAGAAGGCGTGAATACAGTCATGTTCGAATTAAGAAATATAGACTGTAGAGCAGGGGTAATATTGTCGAATACACCCTGCAGGGCTAGGCACAAACGTTTTCTGTACCCCAAACGACCGAAGGGAGTGAGGGGTTCGAAAGCGTTTGTGCCTATCCCCAAGGGGTGTATTCGACAATATTACACCTGCTCTGAGGTCTATATTACGATTCGAACATGAAAACTCACCAAAATGTTTCGAATATTCATTATGGTCCGCCATCACTACGGCCCGCCGTTATGACGTCACACATTACACGTATTACCAGGGGTTTTGTTCGCGAATATACCCCGGGTGAAATGTTGACTTTGTTTACAGTTTATAGAAGGCGTGAATACAGTCATGTTCGAATCATTGTTAACACCCAGTTTTATCTTTTGTGTTCTATGGCGTCATAGTTGAGTATTTTTTCAATTTTACATTCAGTCTGATATTATCTGGTACGATGATACTGTGATCGTTGTCTTGACTTACCACCCTAAACGAAGCCTGCGTAGGCAACGTCCTTCAATTTGAATTATAAGCTTAAGTAAACTTATTTGATCCCTCATAAATCAAAGAACAGAAAAAACTAATTTTACATTTATAGTTACAAGAATGTGTCACTTGAAGTTTTGGTGTTTGTTGTCTTTTTTGAATTGAAACAAAATCTTATGATTTTTATGTTTTCTCAATTTATGACCTTTGGCAAATACATCATCCAAGTAATTTTTACTCTGCCCGACGTCATCTGAATGTTGAAATTGTCCCTTAAATGTATGAAATAAATATGCAAGTTGTCAAATTATGAGCTTCATGTAAATTTCCACTCGACTATAGGGCCCTCTATAGGCAAATCAGAAAAAAACTCAAATGCTTCAACTCACGTATTTAAAAGCGGATCTAGAGTATCAGCAGATCTAGAGTACATTTACATTATCTGTCCACATGTCTATGAGGAACACTTAGCAATATTGAGAGCTTAAACAACAAGACAATCATATACTCGTTAAGTACTTGTTGGGTTTTACAAATGCAAAATACATGCATAAACACTCCTGACCAAACGAGTCAATTCTCATGAAAAATAAAAGCAAATAAACTTTCAAGAGTTTAAAGCATTTTTAATTGAATATAATGACCATAAAACGATATGTTTAGTACAGAAAACACACAGCAGCGTCTCACACCTATATATTTTTATTGAATATATTTGCAAATACTTATACAGATGATTGAGCGAGAATTAAGAAATTCATGATAAAAAAAGAGTTCATAGAAATAATTGTTTTTTACTTCCTTATACCATGGAATATCTGGCAACATGAGTGTTGTGGACTAAAGTCTCGATCTACGTCGTGACCTATATATCAATACAAAATAAAAGCATATATGTTTTTCTCACCGTGCCTTATCTAGCTTTAGAAAAGATTGCGGTCGTGTATTGCCCAACGTCTTCAATCACAATGTATCCATATAACACAGGCTGGTATCGAAAGATTTGTCCGCTGTGACGGAGCATGCTATTTTTCATAAAAAACACTAAGAATGCTTCACGATTTATTTTTTAACTAATATGTTTCGTTATATCAAAGATAATTACTTACTCCATGCAATGGATATATCATCTGCGTGTAACCTTCACTCCTGTTTGAAGTCCAATAACGCATTCTGCAAAACAATCACCTAGCGATAGCTTTGTTGGAGAGTATCGGGTCATTCTCCATGCAGTCGTACAAATTATACAGACACGAATAGCAAATGACGCATGCGTGGAGATTAAAGAATATCGAGTTGGAACCCTGGCTTCCAATCCTCCTTGAACGCTAGGAGTAAAATCTATTGAAAACGGCGACAGAGTATCAAACTCTAAAACGTACCATTTCTTTTTTAACTTTTTAATGGCATGATATAGTGACACGATAATATTAACATATGTTTTCAGCATAACTCTGAATGTATTAATGAGATATTAATGCATTAGGTCTTTTTAATTTTTTTATAAAAAATAATATTAATATTTATTGTCCGCTGTGACGGAGCATTTTCACAGTTCACATTTGCAACTGCTCCGTCAAAGCGGACAAAAAAATTAAACATTATTTTTTATAAAAGAATTAAAAAGACCAAATACATCAACATCTCATTCATACCTTCATAGTTATGCTGAAACCATGTGTAAATATTATCGTGTCACTATATCGTGCCATTAGAAAGTTAAACAAGAAATGGTACATTTTGAAGTATGATACTCCGGCGCCATTTTCAATAGCTTTTCTTCCCAGCGTAATTGGACTTCAAACAGAAGTGAAAGTTAGCCGCAAATGATATATCCATTGCATGGAGTAAGTAATTTTGTATGGTATAACGAAACATATGAGTTAAAAAATAAATCGTGAAGTATTCTTAGTGTTTTTATGAAAAATAGCATGCTCCGTCACAGCGGACAAATATTTCGATACCAGCCTGTGTATAAGTCCTTGTGATAATGTGACAAAAGTATATACGGATTGATAGATTTTTCGACTTAATGTAACACCATTGAATAATTTAACAGAATAAAAACTAAAGACTAATTTTGAGACCTTAGCTCCATCACCAAATAATAAGATAATCTTACCCCGTTTCATCTAAATACTCTGCTTCGAAGACAAATAGTATTTTAATACAATTGTAATTTTATACATTCAGATTCAGAGAAGTGATACATCATTCCCATCAGAACAGATCACCAGAACAAAACAACCACGTGACTTTTGCTCCAAAACCGATTGATAAACAACCGATATGGCGGACAAAAGTCAATTCCAGCCAGCTATTCCTGATATGGAACGTGGGGAAAGGAGAAGCAGAATCAAGTCTATTTACAAGAACTTGATGGTGTTGTCCTTCTCATTCATGTTCATCATGACTGCCTTCATGTCCTTACAAAGTTTGCAGAGTAGCTTAAACCGTGAAGCAGGAGTTGGAGTCATATCGCTCAGTTGTATCTACGGCGGCGCCTTATTCTCATGTATGTTCGCACCAGTACTCATTAAGAAATTTGGACCAAAATGGTGCCTCAGTTTTGGCTGGCTTACGCATTGTATTTTTACAAGCTCTAACTTTTACCCTAAAATGTATACTCTAGTCCCAGCGGGTGTGATTCTTGGACTTGGAACTGGACTCATCTGGACATCACAGGGTGTGTACCTAACTACAATTGCTCTCGACTACGCAGCTATCAGCCTTGATACCGACGAGTCAACAATGAGTCGTTTCAATGGTATATTCTTCATGATTTTCCAAAGTACTCAAATTTGGGGCAACTTGATTTCCTCTCTTATACTACACAGAGCAGGAGGGGATGCGAATTCGCCGACTGGAAACCTGACTGAAATTGTGCTAAAGAACTTAACTGACCAGGTGACGCAGGTGTACCCAAATTATTTGACGGAAAACAAAGATACCATCCAAGATGAAATTAAAATTGCCCATTGTGGGGCTAGTTATTGTCCCTTTGAGCAGACCACAAACGGAACTGCCTTCACGGAACCGCCAAAAAACATTGTCTATACACTTATGGGGATTTTCCTCGGGTGCGGAATCGTGGGGACATTGTTGACCATCTTTTTACTGTCTCCTCTACCCAAAAGGGGCTCCCACGAGATTGCCACTGAAGAAGATCTGACACTATGCGAGAGGTTGAGTTCTACATTCCGGCTATTGGTGAAAGATGTCCGTATGCCACTTCTCGCTGCTCTCTGCTTCTACACGGGCACTGAACAGGCCTTAATGTACGGCGACTTCACACAGGTCAGTTTTTTGAAGTATTAAATATATATACTTGGTTAATGTTTCTTATTTAAATGCCAAAACCATGCAAACATGTTGTTTATAAATTGTTTTCTATTTTTAGTCATTTATAGGGTGTGAACTGGGGATTGGCTGGGTTGGTTACATCATGATATGTTTGGGAGTTTGCAATGCATCTTGCGCCTTTCTGTTGGGTCGTGTAGAAAAATATACCGGCAGACCGGCCCTGTTTGTCGCCGCTACTGTGATTAACGTTGCGCTGATGCTTACGATGTTAATGTGGACGCCAGATAAGCGACAAATGTACGTGTTCTTCATCATTCCCGCACTCTGGGGAGCGTGTGATGCTGTGTGGCAAAGTCAGACTAGTGGTAAGAAAATGAATTTAGTCTAAGTCAGCCGTATAGCAAAATGATCGTTGCATTGTAAATGAACCAAATACCACTTCAGTCAAGCAAACCCAAAGATTCAATACAATACCAGAAGAAAAACTGTCAGAGTTATCTCTCATATCAACCATTTAATTTTAGTGTTCATGTATTTTTGTATTCCATAAGGGTTTTGATGTCACGATGTGACACTGTGATGTCAGTTACAACAACTCTAAGTATGCACATTCTTGAAAGTGTCTCGATTTGAAACAATTGTTTACTGTCGTTTAAATTGTACTGTTCTATTCGTATGTCTGTTTTGAGATAATTCTAATGATATTTCTAGTGATTCAAATGATAAAATATTTGGTTATTCGAAAATGGCGCGCACTCCTTTAAACAATGGTTGTGTATTTCCAGCATTGTTGGGCGTATTATTCTCAAACCAAAAAGAGGCAGCTTTCGCCAACTTCCGTTTATGGCAAAACCTTGCTCAAACCATCGCCTTTGCTACCAGTGGCCTTCTGTGCATGAGCAATAAGATCATCATTGCCATCACTCTGGCATGCATCTCTCTTGCGCTCTATATCGTCGTTGAGGTGAAAGAAAAGATAAAAAAGAAAAGAAACTCTCGAAGATCCACAAACGGTTATTTAAAGCCCTCAGAACAAGCTTTGAAAATAGCACAAACTGGTAACTGTTGACACTTTTGATGCATATTCATAATTAACATGGAGACAATCAGTAAACCAAATAGATATTAGTTATCTAACGTCGTTGACATTTACGAGCGTCTTATGCAGCTGAGGGGGAAATAGAACAGGATACGAAGACGCAAGCTGCAATAGTTGTAGGCAGCTATACGACAACAAGAAGGCCATTCAGTCCCAAGAGCCACCATAACTACATAAAAGCAGACACGCCATCGTGGAAGATCTTTAAAAAGTATGATGGGATATCAGTCACTCAATTTGTGCAATTTGTACTTAAGTTTTGCGTGGTTTCAAATTGCGCAATCATTGTACTTTTGTTTTACATCAATTCACATCTTAACTGAAATGAATATAGGTTTATATGTTCAATGTAAACAATCATTATCTGTGAAGAGAACCCGGTTAACCAAATATGTGTAGTCACCTCTTAGTGCAATTAATACAGGTACTTTTGAATTAGTTTTAAGGAATATCTTTATTTGTAAACATATTCATTCCAAAGACCTAACACGCAATCAAACTATAAGCTACACAGTGCCCCGATTAACATTCATTATCGAAACATTGTAATTATTCACACTTGTGCAAATGACGTCATTTTATTTGAAAGGTCTATATATCTTTCAAACATTAATAATTCATAATTGAGTATCACGCCTAAAAATAATTGAATGTTTGTACGAAAGCTTAAGAAAATGCACTTTAGAAAGTCTTAACCTCTTTGAAAATGAGTATTGATATATTGAATATTAAATTAAAATATAAAACAAAAGATTAAATGGAAAACTCACACGAGAAAATCTGACATTCTGCAAAAAGTAAAAGTTCAATGCTCTCTCGGTTATAGTCTTATAAAGGCAATTCATTAGTATGAATTTACATGGTATATGTACCTACTGAAGTCCATTTTTTACTGTTCATACGACTTGTGTCACTTAACTGTAGACCATCATGTAATATGGCTTATTTTGAAAGATATCTTGATTGTATTGATTTGTCATTTATGAAATTCAGCTTCATTTGAAAAAGGCTTCTTCGATGTTTTGATGACTGTTGAAAATAAAAAGTGAAGATACAGCACCGAGATGTATTTTCTATTTATCATATTACAGACTCGCATTTAGCTCTCTTAATAAAGGGTGGACTGATCTTGTAGTATTGTCAACATTGAATGAGATAAAAAACGTGAACAAATGCGTGGTCACTTGTAGGAATACTTGACCTGAGTCCAAAATAGTTTGTTCTTTAATTGTTCATTGTCAGTTCTCTGAGTTATTAATAGGAGTTGTATCAGGGGTCGCCAAGTATTGGTTTCAAGTGTACATTTGGTCATTAAGTTATTTGTTTGTAAATGAGTTATATGAGTAGCGTACTTCTTAAATTTGCATTGACCTTGGTAAAGGTAAAAAATGTCAAAGTACATGATAAATGAATTAAACTTGTTTCTACTTTGAATTGACGTCAAACAGGTACTGCATTACCACTGTAGTGTATGCTCTATTGGTATTTAATTTTCTATTGATTGTGATTCTTCTATACTGATGTGTCAACTACAGGCCTAAACGGTGTTGTAAAAAGTATTTTAAACTTATATTCTGCACATGTGCAACGTTAATATATCGACCATTGTTTAGGCTAGGACAAAAAATGTAAGAGAAGAATTGTTTACACAGTTCTTACACGTTTAATCTTAAACGCCTTTTAATTAAATACCAACTATTATGTTTGTTCATCTGTGTTAAAATATTAAAATCCTATGAGTACCAAATATCACCAGCATCATTTGGTATAACCTTACTGTATATAGAATTATATAAAATGGTATTAGGAGTATATTTTTATTTATTTTTGTACATAGCTTGTAAATGGTTATATTATACATACTATGTATGTGTGCAGGAATTTATAAATATTTGTAAAATATGCAACAACCATGTGTCTTCCAGTGTATATACAGGGCGGACCAAAAACAATACCAATGTTTAAGGATGAATATCATATGATATAACGTTAAACCATGCCATGTATTAAATATTATCTTAAAGATAAATCATATCCTAACAATATGACACCATCTGATTGATAAACCGTTCTTCCAATGTGGAGTTAGAGGCTAAAATTGACACCAGGGGTGTCGTGAGTGACCAAAAGTTTATTCACTGTGGATTTCCAAATTGTGGAAAATGGAGGGATATTTGAACTTTGGCACCTTCAAAAGAGGTACATTCATACAAGTTTAGTGGAAAATTGACTGATAATACCTAGATCTTCTTAATATATGATCAATTGTGTATTGCTCCTAAAAATGTATGATGATTCAGTCAAGCGTATTGACTGCAGCTGTGACTGCACAATATGGAGGGAAAATTGAGAATTTTCATTTTTTGATTTTCGGTCGATCATGGCACCCTTAGATTTATCTTTTAAAATGATAGAGAATACATGGCATGGTTTAACATACGTATATCATATGCATCATTCATCTTTAAACTTGGGTATTGGTTCATTGGACAACCCTTTATATGTGTCATTTTGATTTGAAAATGATCGTGCAACCAATAAAAATGAAGCAAATGATATTCACAATGACTTGACAATCTAGTAAAATAGAGCTTCTGATATGCTCAGATAATATTATGTACACGATTCAATATACATGTAAAATATGTAAACGATTCACAATCACCACACCCCTAAAACTGTACCAAAACATATGACTATTTTTTAAATGGGAGTGGGTGTCTCATATCAACTGCTGGGGCGTATGCATGTAGTTCTAACATTATTTCTTAGAATCGACCAAGGCAGCTATATTGTTATAATGTTATTCATTGATTAATTGTGTTTAATCTAAATTATATGATTGTTTATTAAAGACAGAAATGTCAGTAAATGTTGATTATATAACATTGTTTGCAAATGCTGTTTGTTAATTTGCAGTTGTTTAAATAATACGCAATAAATGTGTTGAGACATAATGGATGATGTTATGTTTTTTAAACCAAACATGGATTTATGCAGCATATGATGACTATTCTATTTGCTGATTGCATTAGGTTGAGAGTTATATGTGTGCTATTGAGATATAAAATGGTGTGAAATGTTGCTAGTGCCATCTTTTCAAGTGTGTGAATTAATGAGGCTAGAAATATACTTTGTTCTTATATCTGATAAGATAAACCGGGTGTCACAAAATATTATCCCCGAATGAAAGAGAAATCAATATTTTTCCTAAAACACTGACTTTTTCACATGTTAAATTTTTATGATAAATGGATTTTCTGTCAGATGTCCAATTGCAAAGGATTGGTATCGATATGGAGAACTGAATTCAACAATGTCTTTCTCTTAAACCAATCATTGAAAACATTATGTAAAAACACGGTACTTTATGTAATGTTGACTGATTGACAACAATTTAATGCGAAAACTATTTAGAAACATTTTATTATAACTGTTAACATTTTTTTAGTGCAATTGTTTTTGCTCCTTTCTACCAATTCTTGAGAATGAAATAAAATGTCTTTCCGAACCTTGGAACAAAATAGCATATACAACATGTTTTTAGACCTCTCAATATTATAGTTATACCAAGGATTTTTTGGTTGATTTTAAAAATGTATTCAAAAAATTAAAACAAAATCCCCCAAAATAGATAAAACTCAAGATAAACTTTTTATTTTATAACAAGATACTTTTTTTAAAATCAACCAAAATTTTCTTTGTATAATTACAATATTGAGAGACCTAAACATGTTGTGTTTATGTCGTTTTGTTCCATGATCCAATGAGGTTCGGAAAGATGTTTTAATTCACTCTGGAAACATGATACCAAGAACAAAACAAGTGTTTGATGTGTTTTCTAAAACAATATAGATGAAAGAATTTATTTATTTTTCAAATTATATTGTTACCATTCAAAAGATAACCATTAATTAAATTGACGATGTGTTAAATTTTTAGATTTTTTATGACTGGTTTAAGAGAAAAGTGTGTTCAAAAAGTTCTCCATATCGATACCACCCCTTTAATATTCCTCCATCACTATTGTAGTGTCGGTACAATTTTTCAAACACATGGATATGGGGCGATGGTAGTAAAGCTCTAAAACTTTATATAATTAACTTGGGAAACGTTCAGATTCACGGGGGTAAAGCAGACCCGATGATGCAATGAGCTTGCTCGGCGGTATCATGACTGTGTAACGGGTCTTAATGTATAAGTGTGCTCGGCGGCAAACAACGCGGATCCTCAAAGCATGTGCTCATGGTATATTCGTGTTTTAACACCCATCAGATTGTTGTGATTGTTAAACTGTCTATCATATACGTGTCGTTTACTGACGTCATATGTCTGACTAAAATGGTTGTTTAAAAGTATAGAAACAAGGTATCAGCAATTATCTGCCACCATTACCAAATTGATACTATGAATCATTCAATGAATCGAGTGCTAGCTGAGGCAAAATATTTTCTGTATTTCACAAGAAATCATCAAGGTTCAGGAAAAAACTCATAGATTACTCCGATAGCTGGCATGAAGGTTTCATTGGGTAGCTCAGATATTGGATTTTGAGTTTTTGACCTGTAACTTTGAATTTGTCAAATGTCAATTCTCACATGATAATATGTAACTGATCTCTGTCATATTTGTACTCCTTGACAGTGACCCTTTATAGGCTACTTTCTAGAAATGTTCAATTTCATCAGCTGAAGTGTAGCGAATCGTTTTTTCAGCTTTTCATCTGCCATATTGGCTTCATGAAAACAATGTGCATGTTTCAAATTGCTTTCTTTATATTATATTCACGGATGAGTCTTTTTATCATAAATCTTTTAATTGCCATGATCGCAGTATCATTTCCTGATATTTAAATCAATTATTTATAGCCCCATTTATGGCAAAATGCAAAGATTAGCACCCGTCAGCGTAACTAATGGCTCTTGATTTTTTCAAAATCAGTCATATCCTGGATGGAAATACTGGGATACCGAGCCTTACCCCAATGGTGAAATCATTTTCACTCTGTATCCTTCGCTAAGTTGAGAGCGCGTGTAAATACAGAATATATTTGAGTCACATGGACCAATCAGGTTGCAGGGAATTTCGCCATCATGGAATAATAATTCATATTTTTTTATTTATGCGTTATTTATTGCTGGATTAGGTGATACATTTTTAAATTAAATACATGCAGTCCATCGCAACACTAGAATAATCTATAATGGCTTCCTAAAACATGTGTTTCACTTACGGAAGTGTGAAATTCCAATAACATAATTATTACGTGTTCATTATTAGAAATTTGTTTTCATGTTCTAATTAGCACACGAGATATACTTAACATTGTATTTTTGTGGTACATTTTAACACCTTTTTTACTACCTTAACAATAACAGAGTCAATAGTTAATGTATAAAATTCGTTTTTCAATCTTCTGTGTCAAAATTCCCTATCCTCTATTGTTCCGTTCATATACCGGTCTTTAGCTTGGATTTGAACTGGTTCTGGTAGCGTTTCAAATAAAGGTGGTGCATTTTGGTTATACCCTACGTCATATAGGGGACGCTGGGTCTCGTTTAAAGTGTCTGCACCAGAGTCTCTAGAAGTTGCAGTAGAGCCATAGCTAGTTAGCTTGTTACTATGTATGGAATCAGATTTAGTCATACAGGGGTCATCATCAGGATCGTCACCCCATTGTTGGTAGCCCCCAACGGTATTTTGTGGTTCAGCCCATGGCTGTTTCTCACCAGAGGCGAATATAGCATAGAATACAACACCAGAGAAGTGTACCAAACTCGCTATAAGGAACACTGTTTCCCATTCCTTAGATGTCTACAATAAAAATTAATGTATTATTTAAAGGGAATTGACAGAATATCAAAACTATTTATGTACAGTTCTAGTTATGTTTCATAAGGGCACTTATTCTATCCTTCTTGGATGACTTTAATTAAGCTATTCAGGAAATTATGCTTGAAGAAGTTTTGCTTTTATAGTTTTTTTGCAGAATGCCCCTGGTCAGAAATTTATTTCAATCTTTACACATTGCAATCGTGGATTTCTCAGTTGCATGGTATCATAATAACGAATTTGTTACATACAATTGAATAAATAAAACTGCATCGCACACCTTTTGTTTTGTAAGATGTGCCACGACTAAAGGACACAACATCCCAGCAAGTGTCCCGACGCCGTTGGAAAGTCCCATCAAGATACTGGCATAGCGGGGTGCAATGTCCAAGTGGTTAACTTGGAATCCTAAAACACAACATACATGTACATTATCGCAATTGAAACATTGACACTTTGGATATGCTGAACGGAACCATTTCAGTGTATGATTACATATATTACGAAGAATATGTATATTTTCTATTCAGCCATTCATTTCATTCTCACGAGATCTGTTACTAATGAGAGGTTATACGTAATATATGATATTTTCAGCGATATACATTATATTGCAAATCAAATAGCTGTCTCCCGTGGTATACGGTAAAATATTATATTGATTTTACATATTGGCCTCTTGATGATTTAACATTATCTCTAAGAAATACATTAAAAAATTAGATATAAACAAGGTGATATAATGTATTAATTGTTTGAGTAGTTCTGAATTGTTTCATTAGTTCTATCGGTGGATATAATCCATCGTGCTTTAGTGCTATACGCTGATTCTATCCCTTGAGCTTTTTGGCGAGTACTTTTTAACTCACCTGATATGGCAAAACCACTAAATCCTACTGCTAATGTCAGACATGTAATCGCGACTGTTTTGTCTCTTGTGTATCCAACTCCTAATAAGAATATTGCTTCCATACCAAAACCTACAAACATTATCTTCCGTACATAAAAAATAACAATATGACTTGAGTTCGAGATCCAATATTTGTAGCATATAAAACACTGATTAAAATGTTGATGATTAGTAGATTTTGTAAAACATCTCGAATGTGGCACAAAGATACCAAAATGTTAATACAACGACATGTGGTCCGTATTATTCTAAATCACTGTTTAGATGTGTCAATGGATTATTTACCCACATATGTTCCGTGTAATTTTAAAGGTAAGTATTTCGATTATTTACGCCCATGTGTCCCCTGTACTTTTAAATCAAGTAAAAGTACGTATTTGGATTATTTACCCTCAGGGTGTTCAAAAAACACAACCTAAAGAAATCGCTATATCTTGGAAAATATTTATCCAATTGCACTCATTTTTTCAGGAAAGAAAGAATAAACTTTGCATGTAGAGAACCTGTAGTTATTTACTTGTAAAACATGAAGCCCTGTACACCTGCTCAAAATACATTAGTAATAGAAAGATACAAAAAAGCAGTCAAAGGTGACTGCCACAGCAATAAAACTGAATTACTTTTAACAATTGGCACTTCAGATTTGGCACAAATTATCCTCATTCAATATGTGGTGAATTTGTGGAGTTCCATCAAAATCACTAAAGGGACTTGAGAGTCATGGTCAAAATGCTTTCTTAAGTTTGCCTGAACCAGGGCGTTTGACTGCATTTCGCCCATAACTGTAAAGTCCCAGGAGTGATTTTGATTTCACTCTACAGATTTACCATACTTTGAATGAAGATAATTTGTGCCAAATTTGAATAGCTAAAACACGTATCTTTCCAATTCTAATATCTTTTGAGCAGGTGTCTAAGGCATCACGTTTTATAATCAACCAACTACAGAAGTTGTACATACACAGTGTCTTTTTTCTTTCCTGAAAAAATGAACATAATTGCATTAATATTTTCCAAGATATAGCGATTTCTTTGAGTTTTTAACACCCTGTATGTTCCGTATAAATTGAAATTATCTTTATTTAAGTATAAAGACTATTTACCCCCACAATTCATAACCTTTCTCACTGCTGTCGTGCTAAGTAAACCTTTTGAACGAAGTCTATCTGCAAGAATTCCACCAAAGGGTACCACAAACGTCATTATCATATGGGGAACGGCAGATAAAAGCCCACTCTAAAATATGAATTAGGATGACGAGATATAATACAGTATTTATGATAACAATTCGTGAACAAATAGGATCTTAATGTGCCTATATTCATCACTTTTAGAATAATATGAATACTAATATGAATAATAAACAAATCGAAATGGAAAATGATGAAGCGAAAATGTACTAATGAATTTTCATCACATTCAGAAGGAGTTAGAAAGAGAAAGACATGTTTATTGTCCCATACGAGTGAAACGATTCAGGATGGTATACGTTAGACACCATGAATTTATATAATTTATTATACATGGTTGTGTGCTTTTCAAATTTAATTTTATAATCACAATAAATCTGCATACATCTTACCTTAGATATATCATATTTCAATACTTGACTAAAGTACATAGGCTGACTGATGATAAGAAGATAAAACGTCCAACTACGGCAGAAATTGGCAACCATAATGGCATAGACGGGCATCGATGTGAAGAATGCTCTAAATGGCGTACTTAAACTCTGGAAATTGATAAAAATTAGTGATATTTAGGAATGTAGCAATATTTATTTCATAATAAGGACGAACTAAGTTGATTCTTCTCTGTTACGCCTAATGATTAAAGCCAATGGTTCCAAGAATAAGCAACCAAGACTAAAATATTGTTTAAAAGGACTGTTGTTCTTGTTTCCTGTCTTTACAATCTCTCATAGGATATTGTAACGAACAATTACATATCAATTTTACAATCTGAGTCCATATAAAAAAACAGATGTACGTTTTCAGAAAATGAGCATTTCTCTTTTTGGGTCGGGCTTACACAGTTTCTTTATAATACCTTATTACTTATGAATGTTTCAGTTCCACCCAGTGCCTCCTGTATATATGTACACTCTGCCTCTGTTATAGTAGGATCTTTAGAAGGTTTTTCTGCCGAACATATGAACCAAAACACGTACCAAATTATACCAAATGCACCTAGAACAAAAACAGTATCAACCACATATAAGATACGCTAACAAATATATGTTCATACATCTCAGTTCAAACTTGGCACTTTAAGGACCGACTATTGCTATATCGTAAAATATTGAGGAAAAAGGATCGAAACGTTAATGACATTTGACATTGAAGCTTATTTTTCTCACATCATTTAAGACACGGCATCTTGCATATGACTTGGTATCAACAACTATTTTTGATGTCTAAATTTTAAACTAAATTCTCGAATATTTTAACTTAATCATATTCTGATATTTCTTCAATGTGATTTGAATGTTTTGAATGGTTTTCTTGTTTTGAATTATTTGAGAGCATTCGAAACTGATTTGCGTTTGATCATTAGTCAAGGAGGATTGGCTCCCAGATTGCAACATCGATATTCTGTCCCATATATGGGCATGTCGTGATACAAAATTCGAATTTTGTTAACTTCAACATTTGAATCGTGAATTCTGGTCTTATTTCCAAACGAAAAATTCCACAAAACTCAGAAGATGTAATCGAGATATTGGTTCAAATCTTTTGAAATGTTTATTTTGAAGTTATAGTTGGTTATAATTTCAGAAAATAACGACATTTCGACGTTTTCATTGTTGGAAAATATCGAGTTTCGATCCTGAGGGCCTGGATCATTAGTTAAGATAATGGCGTTTCCCTTTTTACAGCGTATGATGTTCCGTTTTTTTCTATGTTTCGAGAAAACATGAAAATAAGAGTCTAAAAGTACAGCGAGCTAACCCAAAATATCCCAAACTGTATTAAGTTATGATATTCACAAATTAAATCATAATGTGCTCACCATAAAAGTAGAAGCAAGCTTGCCATCCTATGTATTGCGTTAGTATACCGGATAAAGGCATCCCGACCACAGCACCAGCGTATGATCCTATACACGATGAATAGATTGAAGATTAATTCAAACCTTGGTCTAAATATCATATAAGATCACTTGATACATAAAATAATGTAATTGAAATATAATTCTATATGAATAAAATTGATAATGAATATAATTTTAGATATTTATCGAACATACTACTCCATAATATCATAAAACCGTTGGCATGGAAATGAAAAACGCTTAATATACAAATATAAAATGATACGTCCTAACCACAAAACGCTAGTGTTGCTAAACGAGAGCGTTCTAAGGGTGGAGCCCAGTGACGCCAGATACCATGACATGCTGGATAGGTGACACCCTAAAAACATGAAACGAAGAATAATTTTTGGGTGTTTTCTAATGTAACACTTTTCTTTTTCAGGGATTATAATGAAGATTCTAATATGATATATGCTACGTGACGTCACAATAGCAAGGACATTGATTTACTGGTCTATTTTGGAGTACGTATGACCGCTAATATTCATAAATGCAAATAGTTGTTTTCTTGTCTATTTATCATATTAGAATCGTAACGAAGACCTCGATTTTATGACCTCAAATTTTATTCTGGTCATTGCCAAAGACCTCAATCGCTACGCGATTTCGGTCTTTTAATAATGAACAGAATAAAAAAATATATATATTCGGTCATATTATGCCATAAATCATAACATCTCGGTCTTTATTCCTTAATTATAGTTAAAAGATATCTTAAGATTATTTGGTTAAATGAGTGTTATTTATTCTACCTCTATCAAATGTAAAAATATCAACATATCTATAATTCATCAAGTCCCCTCTTATATAATCATCTATATATATATTATCTATTTATAGGCTTCCATAACATACATTTCAATTTGATGACACCTTGTAGATTCATGTTATATTCAAAAACAAGTACTCAAAATATTAATATCCACATTATCTAAACTTATGATTAGCCGTATGCTCCCTGGGTTGTAATTTACTGTTATTTGAATAGATTAATGTAATATATATATAATTGAATAGATAACATAACAATAGGTATGAAAATGTCAGATATGTGTTTGAGACGGACCTCTACCAATCCCTGTAAGATTCGGACAAACATAACGAGTCCGTAGTGGACCTGTGCAGCCCCTGGTATCATGAGATTAAGGAAGGATGAGACAGCAATCGCAGTGCCAAACACCCTGAAATATCAACCAGAGCAAGGTCATATACTACATGCATTGGATCAATTATATATAGCCAAAGACAGTTGTACTGTACATCAATTATCTTGTACGTGAACTTTATTGGGATTCTGATTCTATCGAATTATGCTTGGATTGAAACAATTGGCCATTTCAATACTAATGGGGATACATTAGCAAATTAGTTTCTTTTTTATTAATAATAATGCTTGTTATGGTTATGGAATAAGGACAAGTAATAAAACCATTACTTTTGCAGGCCGTATCCTACTGTATATCTTGATTGACCGGAATCAAAGGATATACACGATTTTTGACGCAATTCGAAAAATTAGAAATCGCAAAAATAGATAGTGTATTTTACACGTCCATGGATTCGTTATATGTGTCGGTTTCATTTCATTTACGCGATATTTTTATATGATACATGAAAATCCACTTACATATTTGCTGGCAACCTCGACGCTAAATAGCCCCCAGGGATCTGTGTTATGATATAACCCCAGAAGAAAGAGCTATCAACGAGCCCAATAGTCTCTGGCGTCCAGCTAAATTCTGGTGGCTAAACAAAGAAAATCCTTGTGTCAGATATATGCTATATCGATGTACTAGAATTCAATGTCAAATACCAAAAACAGATCTTTGGGCGATTTCATTGTAAAATTATGATGTATAAATAGATCGACGAGTACGATTCCCTTTCACTAACTATTGTTATTGTGTTATTACTATTGATTCAATTTATATATCAATAAAAGCTTCTGTGACGTCATTGTTCATAAAATATTTGATCAGTTACAATGGTTACAATATTTCTGTTGATAATCTTGATTGTATAATTCAGAGTCTTTCATGACTATTGTTATATGTAATGATTTGAGTAATTATGTCTACATTTGCAATCGACTAAAAATCAGTTTAATATTCTAGAATAAATAAATTATGAATAAAAACATGCAGTGATTGTGCTGTTGTTATACATAGCGTGCCATTTTATTTAAAAGCAAGATTAAACTAAGTGTGACTAACTTACAAAGCAAGGTAAAAGAAAAACGTTTCCAAACAATTTAAAATACAACATTGTGATTTGAATTACACTCAAATCTATAACATTACCATGGATTTTATAACAGTTTCACTTTTGTTTTGCTAGAATAAATACATAGAGCGTTGTAAATATAAACACATTCATACAGTAAGCGTGAGAATTTGTGAATACAAAATAGATGTCACATTCGTTGTTGTCAATCACGTATGAATCCACTGCAGTGACATCTTTAAATCAGCATAATAACACTGATGGATAAATTCAGCTGATGCGTTTGTGATCTGCACATGCGCACAGCACGTTCATGCAATTTTTAAAAATGGTTTCAATGAAATATAGGCTATACATATACATGTAATTAGGAAATATAATTGCAATACTTAGAAATATAATCGAAACGAGACTGTAATATATAGGAGAGATGGTAATAAGTTCATGTCAAATCCGATGAGATATATTGGCTCGGTTAAGTATCCATGCTAAAGAAGTACCAAATTACGATTGTTAGAAACTACAATATACATTTGATTGTACATACTGCTGGTTTCAGGTGTTCAGCGTGTGACGTTCCATTTGACGTCATTTGTACAATTGCGACTCCCATGTTACACCTAATGCCAAACGAAATGAGGAAGCCAATGCTGCAGAGCACGGACATCAGGTATCTTCTTGGACAATAGCATGGACAGCACGTCTGACAACAGGGACACATTGTCCGGCTATTATATTTTTGTCGGAATTCGGAGGGCCCCTCTGCGCACGCAACTTCGTCGGTGACGCCATAACTTGTTGTGCTGTTTTGTCTCGCAAAATTATTTTTTTCGTGTTCTCCTCCTCCCCCAACAAATCTGGAATCACAAAATATCGCTCTGATTAATATAATCGTCATAATATAATCCGATTTCTTGCAAGTACGAGTATAAAGTGGCGACTGGAAAAAGAGTAATGGATTTTAATCGAAATCTGATTTTCGCAGGCTTTTTATTTCGATTGAAGAGCTGGTCTGGTTCATTGAATTTGATACGTGGATAAATAATTCGAATAGACATCTATATGGAGTTAATTTCGGAATAGAATGACCCCAGACATTAATGAATTTTACATATTTCTTTATTTAAGTCATTTTTCATCAAATCTACCAAGAATTAGTAAATAAACTTTATATTGACATTTTATTCCAACTCGATATCAGTTGTACGATTTTTTGACACATCCATTACATTTGTGGTAATCAAGTGTACTTATGCATTAATGAATGATGGTTTCATTAGTATTCCATATTATTTTGCGAACGATTTATTGACAAACTTGCTGTCTTTATAAATATTATATAAGTGTTGTTTTGTTTGTTAAATCCTCTGGTTTATTGGTTTAGTGTACTTATATTGTTCTGCTCATGAGAGTAATGAAGAACATTTAGGTTGCTACTGTTACCTTGCTCTTAAAACATCTTTTCCGATCCATTTAATCCAGTTTGAAATCCGAAAAAGCATATTTTAATTAATTATAAAAGCATATAATTCTAGGACTGTGTGTGAATGAGCAAAACAGTGTTGTCTCTGCCACTAGTGATAAAAGAGCATTATCGTACAAGGGAATCCCCTATATATATAATAGATCGTTCTCTGTCCCCCTTCGGCACATCTCCTATAGCCATTTGTTTTTTGTCTTTGAAGTGTTTTATCCTGTCCTCGAAATTTGATTTGGCAATATTGACGTTAAAACTGATGTAATTATTGCATTCAGTCTCACCAATGCTTAAATGATAAACTAAAATTTCCTTTGCGAAATTAATCATTATCTATCTTTAACAATCCAATACACCTATTCTACTTGCATATAATTTACTTCAAGTACTACTGTAAAGGTTGTATTACTAAACCAGAAATGATTTTTATTTACCCACGGGTATTTGTTGATTTTTGGGCAGTATTGTGTGGGAGAGATCCAATGTCGAATATTCCGATATCTGTTATTGTTATAAACGCTCGATTTAAAAATGTTATATTTCCCTTGGGTGAATAATGATGCAAAATTGTACGCCTTTGTGTAGGGACAACGGGTCGTGAAGCTATTTTGAAAAAAAGAAATAAGAAAAGAAATTTCGAGTCCATTATACATAATGTTCACCTGAAACGTTCTGATCTAACGAAACTCAGAGGGCGTTACTGACGAGAGTAAATTACACTTACTAATTGTTGAACCCGCAGTACGACCGATTCGTTATTTTCCGTTGGGGCTAGAAACAAGCAACCCAATCGTTAGTGTGGCATATGTGCACCAGAGCAGCCAAAAGCCATGGTTGATATTTTCTCACAATCGAGCTAAAGACAATGGTACTGTATTTGATTTAGAACATGATACCCAGAAGTTATTAAAGGAATATACCAGTTTCTATAACATGTACAAGTAACATGATTTCTTTAAAGACTTGAGTTTTGTATTCATATCATTTTTTCAAAACACTCGTTCCTGTACCACGTTTGTAGTAGACAAGCGGGTTCGAAATACTACAAAAATTGTATCTTTTCTAGGATACTTTTACAGATACCTGGGAACGTGAATGCCCATACACGGGATTAGTGTTTCTTTTATGGCCTTTGGCTAGATTGAACGTGTCTTTTATATGTGGGACAAAAAACAGCTGAAAGAATCATACTTTGTTATGGAAATATTACTGTATTTTCAACCAATGTGATTTTTACTGTAAATCTTTTTTTGAGAAATCAAAGATGCCAGAACACGATTGTTTAAGGACGGTCGTTGTTTATTGATCCCCTTGTAGATATACTTCACTTTACGTATTCTTTATACAATCTATATACAAGAACACAAATGTGTACAAAATGTCCCCACCAAGTGGTGATCCCGTGAAATGGGATATCCTGAAAATGAGTAGACAAGACTTTACCAACACAATTTGAGGACGGAAAATCCAAAGTGGCCACCTTAAAATTTACCCAGAATGCCAAAAATTTAGTCAGTTCTAAATTTTCATACTAAGAACCACCCCTAAAAATTTGAAATTGATCCGTCACACAGTTAACCAGAAAACATGTAAACAAGACTTTACAGACAAGACTTCAGGATGGAAAATCCAAAATGGCTGCCTTGACATTTACCAAGAATGTCAAAAAACTAATCTGTTTGTAGATTTTCATACTAAGAATCATCCCTGAAAATATGAAATTGATCTACCAAACGGTTCACCTGAAAACGGGTAGACAAGACTTTACAGACAAGATTTTAGGACAGAAAATCCAAAATGGCTGCCTTAACATTTACGCAGAATGCAAAAAGAGTAATCAGATGTAGATTTTCATACAAAGAATCATCCCTGAAAATTTGAAATTGATCTATCAAACCGTTCACCTAAAAACGCGTAGACAAGACTTTACAGGCAAGATTTTAAGACGGAAAATCCAAAATGACTGCCTTGACATTTACCGAGAATGCAAAAAAACTAATCAGTTCTAGATTTTCATACTAAGAATCATTCCTGAAAATTTGAAATTGATCTACCAAACAGTTCACCTGAAAACGAGTAGACAAGACTTTACAGACAAGATTTTAGGACAGAAAATCCAAAATGGCTGCCTTAACATTTACGCAGAATGCAAAAAGAGTAATCAGATGTAGATTTTCATACAAAGAATCATTCCTGAAAATTTGAAATTGATCTACCAAACAGTTCACCTGAAAACGAGTAGACAAGACTTTACAGACAAGATTTTAGGACGGAAAATCCAAAATGGCTGCCTTGACATTTACCCAGAATGCCAAAAAACTAATGAGATCTAGATTTTTATACTAAGAATCATCCCTGAAAATTTGAAATTGATCCACCAAACGGTTCACCTGAAAACGCGCAGACAAGACTTCACAGACAAGATTTTAGGACCGAAAAATACAAAATGGCCGACAATAAAAAAGTCCTTATGAGTTTTTGCTGATTTCTCTTTACAAAATTATCACATATAACTACTGTTAACAATAAAGTAGGCTTTTACAGCAAAGTACATCTGAAATTATTTATAAAGCTACTAAATAGTTAAAGTATGAAAACTCAAAAACACCATTCAATATGATACAAAGTATTATCGCGCGCTAACTTTTCTTAAGACATTCAAAATGGCTGACATGACTGAGCTGGTAGGTCCAAAACCTAATAAGATCTAGAATGAAGTGAGCTGAACAAGATGTTAAAGTTTTAAAAGCAACTGTGAAGCAGTTTTTCTTAAAGTTTGCAGACAAGGATTTTAGCATTTGACTTCAAAATGGCCGACAGGAAGTAGGTTTCGAGTCAAAATTTTTTCATTCACATCTATAGGCACTCATAAGTTATTCCTGAAAATTAGAAGGTGATACCTGTAGCGGTTTTGGAGAAAACTGCCGGACGTACGGACGGACAGACAGACAGACAACCAACCAGACAGACGGACGGACGGATGCGCCTAGGACGACAATATGGCCCCACACTATGTGGTGGGGACATAAAAAGACGATCTATTATATCTTATACGTAAATATTTTTTTGCATAACACTCCATAGAAAGCATATTTAATGTAGAAACCACCAAGTAATATTACATTTGGCAGTAAATCTGCAACATATTTTAAAAGTAATATATGTACAACCCCGTTAAATTGCAACATGTATTGTAATTGTAATTCTGCTTAACCTGAAATAAGAATTGATTAAAAAGTGCACTTAGTTACATGGAGCACTGATGGAACTTTGTAAACGCTTTGAACTATTGTGCCAGTTAGATCTACCTGATGACAGCGTATCTATATGATAGACACTCCAACCACAATAATTATCTACCACCAAGTCTTATTCAATAGTGAAACCTATAATCTAATCCTATTTAAATATACTTTCGTCGCTCACTACCTCCATAATTGATTTTTGCGGCTGTTAAACATAGTCTAGTCTGACCCTAAGGTTTAAACAAAAGTCGATTAATTGGGCCTTTACGCTCTTCATTTAGCATACATGGTTAGGTAACTGATCGTTGTATAACCTTGATGGAACGGTCAGTAAATACAATAGTAGAGGCTGGTCAAACATATCCGGAAATCCTTTATGTAAATGACGCATTTCCTTGTTTATAGGTATGTATTTAAATAATATTACCAAGCAATTAGAGGCAATTGCAAATGGGTGGGAAAGTGATTCCAGGTACACTGCACCCTCATATACATTGCCATTCTTTGTAAATATTGAACATCTTGTACAAATCGACCGTAAACGTTATACTTTGACATTTTGCTGTCACACCTCGTTTACCCAGACGGCATAAATTTTCAATGTCATTCTATCAAAATTTTATTTGAGCACCGAGAAAATTCTTCGTGTCCATGATTTGATTTTGTGATTTTGCGTTTTACGTTTTTGATAAATTATATTTGTGTCATTTTCACATAATACGTTAAACAGGGACGCAAACAGATCTTAGGTTTCTAGAACGAACGAATCCACGTAAAATCAATTATGATGCGAGATTTGAGTTCATATTTACTTTCGAGATTTGACATAAAATCACGTCTAAATAAGGAGATTAAATAACAAACAGGTTTAACAAACGCACTGAATAGATCAGATAGAATAAATCATATCAATTTGGTTTTATGCGGAAAAATTGAGAAAGCAATACAAATAAGTCAGCACAAGACAAAATCGTATGGAATAACTTGCGATAAGCTAGTTATTGAGCTTGTTATTATGGTCTTACTAGTGGTTATTATTGAGTAATGGTACAGGTATTCGATATGGTATTGCAGCTTACACTTAAGTAATGGTACACGTATCCTTGGATTTTAGGCCCGAATACCGAGGTTTATT